TGAACTTCTTCCGGAGTTGCGTGACACGTCGCCATTGACGCTGGTCAACGCCTGTGAGAGGCTTTTGGCGACGGTAACTGTCCCCTGCCTCGAGGTGGAAGTCTTTCACTGCCGTTTTGCATCCATTCGGCTGCGTGGAACAGTTTGCTCCTTCACAGCCACGCTGCCTATCGCGGTTGAAGAGTTTTGGGACGACGACGTCCGCGCGATGGAGCGCCCCTCCGTTGAGCTCGTTGTTCCCTCGGTTAAGGTAAACGCGGGTGACGCCATCCGGCTGGAGGTGGAGGGAGCCAAATGCACCATGCACTCTCTTTCCTCTCTTGGGGAAAGCAGCGTCACATTCAGCGATTATGAAGTAGATAGTGACACGTTGTCTGCTGTTGGCGAGGAGGCTGTGCGTGTCGAGGTTATGGCCTGGAAGCTGCACCTCAACGGAGTTCCGGCGGCTGACGTTGCAAGCGCGATGCTGGGTCTGTGGTCCGAACTTGGGGTCATGGCGAATGCGCTGTCCAGGCGAAAGTTGGTGACGTGTGATTCGCTGCGTGGTGAGCAACACAACTTGAGCCGAACCGGGCCGTGGTTCTTTGACGCCCCGGGTAAGGTGGTTCTGGTGGAGGACTGCGCCTTTCTCTCCCGTGCTTCAGGAACGCAGATGGTGGTCTGCAGCGGGACCCACGTTTACTTTCGTCGCTGTCACTTTTCTTCCTGCTTTCTGCTGGCCATTACGGTTCAGGACGAAAGTGCATCGTTTGTGTGTGACAACTGCGTTGAGGCTGCGTTGGGCAACGACGCTAGCGTGACCGCCGTGCGTGCGGAAGCAGAGAGGAAGACGTTACAAAAACTTTTGCTCATAGCTCATCGCAGTATCGTATGCGTGACGTTGCCTTGTGACCGCAAACTTACCTTGAGTCTGTCAACGCTGGACCTGCGGTTTATGGCGTGTCTCAGGAAAACCGTCTCCCAGCTACGCGTGCAGCGAGGACGCCTTGACCTGAGTGAAAAGGGGACTACACATGGCGTGATTTCCCGTGTGGATTTGGATGTCGACTGGGCTCACAGACAGAAGGATGACTACGCAGCGCTGAGCTCAGCTGTACGAATAGGGGGTGTAAGTATACCCGTTTCACTCGTCTTCGCAGTGCGCCGCCTGAGAAGGCTGTGGGGCTGCAAACAGCCGTTCTCTGGCGACCCGCGACGGAAATACCAAATGCCTTCGAAGCCACGCGGATTTCCGTTTGCCAGGTGGAAGGCACTGCTGACAACTTCCGCTATTCCCGTTGGGCTCTGCCTACCAAGTGGGGCTCCATTTATGCACTTCCTTCTGGCCAGCACCTCCCTCTTGTCAAAAAGGGAAGTGACAGGGGATGCCTTTGTGGAGGCGCGATTGGGGATGCAGGAACTCTCCCTGTGGGAGTTCTCCTCGCAGGCGCAGGTTCCACTGTTACGCGATTTACTCTCCGTGTTGGTGGTGGCCCGCACACACGACCTTTCGACTGTGTCTTGTGACGTGTCTGTCTCCCCATGTGAGTTTTCGCTCTCCAGCGAGCAACTCAAGAGCGCGCTGTCGCTCTTGACATTTCTGCAGGGCGGCGACGACGATGCTGCTGTTGCTGCGGGGACGACACCGTGCGCCATGGAACTGGGAAACCGACTCGGGGTGGAGGTGACTCTGCAGGACGCCACGGAACAGTTTTGCCTTCAAGATTGTCTTTCCCTTGAAAGGAAAACGTTATTGTTCCCGGATTGTCTCAGGCTGGTGGGCGGAAGGCGCGTGGATCGTTTTGATAGGGAAGATATATCATTCTCAGACGATAAACGGGACGGTCTCTTTCATGCCGAAGGTGTAGCTGTTCTTGAAGACGGCGAGCGCGTTCACGTCGCCACACGTGTGCAACCTGGCACCCTCACGCTTCAAGTTACGCTTCGAACGGCCTTTCACGTCAGGGATTACCTGCCTTGCGCGGTGACACTTCGCCCGACGCGCAGCGGGAGTGAGGTGCTCACGCTCCGTCCGGGAGAGCTCGCTTGTCTCCCGATCGCCTACCTAGACTCCACGGATGTTGTCATGCGTCTGGTGTCGACGGAAGAAGGAGGCGAGTCCTGCGATGAGCTGCTCTGCGAGGGGCCGCCGCGCAAGCTGCTTGAAGTGGCCACCTCACGTGGGACGGACTCTATGGGGCGTCTCAAGAAGTTTTCCTTTGCCGGTGCCTCGGCGTACGTTGATGTGACGTATCAATTAAGGAGTTCTGTCCTCACCATGCTTCTCGCCCCGGCTAGATCCGGCATTCATAACGGCACGCGATTTCCCATTCGGTTGACGGCTTACATCAGTGACGACGTCGCTGAGGAGGCGTCTGTGGACCCCGGCAAGACGTTTGTTTCTCTCCGGCACGACCCATACGGTCCTCCCGTGGAGTACCTTTTTGAATGCGTCGTCTACGGCATGAGGTATGTTGCCAGCGAGCGTGTCGATGTCACCACCGTTGACCCCGCGGAGGGGGAGTGTATTGTGATGAAGCACGAGGAATTCCCTCGCCGCTACTTTTTTGAGTTCAACATTGAAGCTCGACAGGCCGACCTTTCTGGTGGCGGCGCCCAGGTGTACAGTGTGGTGCCACGGTATATCTTTGGTGTGGAAAATAACTCCCACATGGATGTTGAGTTTGTGTCCGAGGCGGGGGATTCCATTGGCACTTTGGGTGGAACTTTGCTTTCATGCTCCTCCGGAAGCAACTTTGCCTATCTCCCGCTCCACGCGTCGCTTGTGCTGCGCGCGGAAAAGGCTACTTCCTCAGCCTTTGAGGTGGGTGAGGGCTTGGATGAGCAAATGCTCCTCTGTAATGCCTCTGAGCAAGGCGAAACGCCTTGCGGGGCGCACTGTTTCCTCCTTCGCGTTAAGGGAGACGCAGCTGCGAGGACCATGGAGTTGCTGCCTGCGCTGCTTATGCTCAACCTGGATGCCACCCGAACTCTTTCGGTGCAGCATGCCATCCGTGCTAAGGACACCACCACCGGGGGCGAAGAGAAGTGGGTACGCCGTGTAGTTTTGCCAGCCGCTGGCGTGCTTCCCTACACGTTTATTTCGTGCTACGGGTACTTGGACACGTTTGCGTTTTGTTGGGAAGAAAGCGGCGAGGCAGCTTCGTATTCCACCCCGGTGGTGGTGACATTTGCCTCAAACACAGATTGGACCGGTGTCGTCCAGTGCGGGCGGACCCATCACATGGTTCAGGTGCGTAAAAAGGGTTCCTGTGACCCCGCCATGTTGGTGGTAAGTGGGCCCTGCAACAGGCCGTCCTTGACGCTGGTGAATTTGACGCCTAAGGCCTACCACCAGGTTGGCTCCATGGCGGTGTCGTCATCTTTGCGGCTCTTGGCAAAGGGTGATGTGCTAAGCCTTTCTGAGGGGGACAAGGAATCTGTGGTGTGCTTGGCCCGCGACGCCGCCACCGATATTGGTGATGCGGCGACGGCCTTTGTTCGCCATCAGCGGGACGATGTCACGGTCGTGTTGTCCCTTTTTCCGCTGAACACAACCGTCTTGTTGCCAGGCAGCACATGCGCCGCAAGTAACCCTCAAATGGGTGGAGGGGTCGAAGAGGTTGGAGCGGGAATAAAAACAACGATTCGTGTAAATGCAAAGGCCTCTCAAGTTTCTCTCACGGTTCGGGATGGGAGGGAAAGTTCTCTTCTCTTTACCGTGGAGAGTAGCGAGTTCTGGATGGTGCACCATTCCCTGAGCCTCACCGCACAGGGCACAGTGTCAAACGCGTCCGTGCAAAGCACCTATAACTCCAAGCGATGCCACGTTCTCAAGCCATTCTGTTTTGACATGACCGTGCGTGATGTGGAGCTGCTGTTCTCTACAATCTCCGCGTGCTCTGCCCAGGTGAATGTGACGCGACTTGAGGTGGAATTGTCCGATATTCTTCTCTACCAGTTTCATCAATTGGCGACGCACTGCCAAGACTATTCGTTGAAGACGACGACGCGGGAAAGGCGTCGTGGCGCCAACGCATGTTTGGCGATTGCCGTCGACCCTCCTCCTCCTTCTCCTTCTCTATGTTCAATGCACAGACGAGTTGAAATCGGCTCGATGGTTGTATGCGAGATATGCGTCATTCTCACGTATGACAGGGGGGAGCGAGCTCCTGCTGATGTGCTCTTCCGTGGATCGCCGATTGGGAGGTTCATTCCGTCGCTGCACCGTGCCACAATGCGACTGCCTACCCTGCGTTTTAGGGATATCTCTAGGGAAACGTTAATGGAGGTGTACAGCATGGTGAAGGAGGTAATGCTCTTTGAGTTTCTGAAGCAACTTCCAAGCCTCGTTTCAAGTGTGGTTTGGTTTCCGGCGCTGTCTCCAGTTGGCAGCTTTTTGACGCGCGTGGGCTCATTTATCTTCGGCACTAGCGGCGCCTCTTCAGAACTGCCCGGCGCCACGCTTATTTGATGGAAAACAGGGAGGAGCGTCAAGGAAGCACGCCCAAAAAATATATTCACGGACACATTTTGCTCCCCACCAAACACACCCACGCAGTTCCCACGTCCTCGAGGAGTAGAAGAGCCGTGGTCTTCACACAGAGGCCAAGTTTTTTTTTCCCCCCCTTGAGGGAGTTGAAAGAAGTGTCTTGGAATCTTGCGAGATGCGACGGTGCTTTATGCAGCACATATTATGCCGCTCGCACACTACTTACGCTTCGGTGCAGGGGGAAAAAACAGCTTATCCGCTGATTCTGGGGTCTGCTGTGGCTCCTAAGGAATGTCTCAAGCGGCACTTCCGCGCATGTGTGACGCGAGCTCACCTAGCACGAGTACAACCGCCCCCAACGAGCGGGAAAAAGAGGCAGTGAAACTTGACTGCTGGCTGTGGTACATATATATTTATAGTTGCCAAGCCTGCTAACTCTGAGGCGCTGTCTGTTTCCTTTTTGTTTTCTTTAATTGATGCTTCTTTGAGCGAGGCTTGCATCACAATTTTTTCTCTTCAATTTCCCACAACTTTGCCTTCCGAAAGGACACTGATGCACGCGGAGAGTAAGGCGTGTGTCTCACCATTCTCTTGGCACCTCTTCACTATGTTGCTGAACTGTGTAATGGCATCCTCCACCGTTCGCGAAGATGACTCCCTGACAAGTGGCCTCTGATGACACTGCCGCAGCGAAGTGGTGAGGCTTATTCTCGCTTCTCCGCATCAGCTCCTGCACCTCCGTTATTCGGTGTGGGCTGAGCAAAGGGCATTCCGCACTCGGTGGAAAGTTAGTTTCTCCAGCGCTGACGGTGCCAGTGTTGTGCCCGCGCCCGTTCTTTTTCGGTCTTCCGCTGATTGTTGCTCTGTCGGGCGCAATTCACAAGGCCTTTTTTTACTCATTTTTCTGTTGCGGTTCCTTTGCGTTTCGCGGGAGTGCGATGGGGGCGGGAGAAGGTTGATGATTTCGGGTGTGCAACTCTGGGCGTTGCGTCTCTCCTTTGGCCGCCAATCCTCAGCGGCTGTTCGCAGTACAGTGTGAGAGGATCTGTGGCCCCAGTTCTCTGCCGGGGGCCGGGATGTGGGAGGGGCGCCCAACGCATCTTCTTGCGACCTTTTTTCTCTTCTCAGCTAAGTCCTCAAATATGCCGTCAGCTTGCGAGATGTGAGGCTGCCAGTAAATTTTCCCACTGGAATTGCTCCTGCAAGGTGTGTGTGTTTTTTTTGTTTTTGTTATTTCTTGAAGACTGCTGCGTGGCCCGTCGGTGTATATTTACTGCGGCAACCCTCAGCAAGGGCGGTGCGGGAAACACGCAAGAGGGGGATCTTACCTGGCGTGAAACTGAGAGTTGCTAGATCTAAAAATGGCGCGTGTAAATATAAGTGTGCGTGCATGTGTGCACATCGGGTCTCGAAGGCGACGGACACGCAGTGCTGACTGCGAAGCCTGAAGTAAAAACAAAAAAAACAAAAGCAAAGAAGGAAAAAAAACCCGCTGCTGTGTGAATCCTGCGACGATCCGTTACTCTTCGACTGTGCATGTTATCGTGCATTGTGGGGTGTGTGGGTGGGCGTTGACTGCCGCCGTTGTCTCTCAGTT